ATTGGCCTGGAAAAATACCCACAGTATTGTTAAATGGGAAATAGAAAATTACTAATAGGATTTTAGGTGGGAATTTGATAAAACACTTATTTAGAGTATATAATAGAAATGGAACTCTACTATACCTAAAACAATACTAAAGTTCATTGTAGGTAAATAAACCTGTAAGAATAATATAACTGGAAAACTCCGGGAAGAAATACTATAAATGGGACAACTATATCAAGATTGACCATGGAGGTTAGAAAGTGTTATCTATTTGACCAATCTGATTATCACTTTTGTAAGATGCATTAGGAAGCTATAAATTTACAAAGCCAAATAAACATTTTATAAAAACAGTTTTGTAGTATTAGCTCTTAAATAATACTTTTGATCATAAAGTAATAGTTATATATCCAGTAAAGCAGGTTGCTATTTAGTTTTTGTTGTTTTTGTTTGCTATTTTAATTTATTTATTTATGCTTTGTCATTTTACAGATGTATTTCCACTGCACAAGATTTTCCACCTCTGGGATACCTTGCTGCTTGGGAATTCCTCTTTCCCATTTTGTATTGGAGTAGCGATTCTCCAGCAGCTGCGGGACCGGCTTTTGGCTAATGGCTTTAATGAGTGCATTCTTCTCTTCTCTGATTTACCAGGTATAGGTCCAAGTAAATGGAATCATTCAATGAAATTTGACTGTAAAATATGAGACATTTTTCAGCCATTTGCAAAAATAATCATCGAGGCCTTCACAGTCTCTTCTGCTTGGGCCTCATCATCCTCTTTTGATTCTCTCCGCCACGTGTCGCCTTTTCTGCTAGCCCAGCATTGCAGATACAGAGCCAGCTCCAGTGCAGTGTGATTTACTGACATCCTGGCAATGCCGCCAAACAGGGCAAAGGCCCAGTGGGGTGGAGGTGGTGGCGGTAACGTGTCTACCCTTTTGCTTCGGACAGGGCTGTCTATCTTCAGCTGATGGAGAGTAAAAAGGGCCCTTGGGAAGCTATTTGAGACTCTGTATTTATACGAAGACGTAATTCACTCGAAACTTTGCTCCCTCCTTGCCGCAGCTTCTTGCTGACAGTCTGACAGTCTGAGGAAAGGAAACACTGTACTCTTGGATGGACAAACCAAACTCCAGGGAAGTTCTGTGTCGTGTAATACAGGATAGCAAGTTAAGCTGTATAGAGCGTTCACAAATCAGGAGTTTGTAAACCTGAGAATTTAATACTTAAATGTAGAAATACGGGTAGCAACTACAGTCTCAGCTTTTATTCTACCATGAAAAAGATGAATTCAAGTGGTTACGTAGCATGTAACTAAATCTGTAGAAGGAAAATATGCTAAACTACATTTTGGCAGAAACTAAAATTGTGATAAGGTTTACAGACGGCGAACTATGTAATTCAATACGTTCTGGCAGTTACAAACATCCACATAAGCAACACTTCAATCAAGATACAGAATATTTTCACAGCCCCCAGAAATTCCTTTATGCCAGCTGCTGATCAATCCCCATGCCCCATTAGCAACCGCTATTCTGATTCTATCAATGTAGAAGAGTTTTGCCCGTTCTTGGCTTGTCTTTTTATTTTGTAAACTGTGCCTTTTGATGAGTAGATTTTTACAGTTTTAATATAGTTTAATTTATCCGTGTTTTTCTTTTATGAATATGAACTGAGCTCAAGCAAGCCAAGCAGCCAGGTGTTAGAATAGCTGATTAAGACAACAAACCAAACTGAAAGGAACAGTCAAGCCCTGATCACTTACTGCAATCGTGTAAGCAAGAGGCTAAACTGGAGAAAGCACCACTCACCCTGTTCCGTTTTCCACGGGGAACAGCACCAGTGGGTCACGTGGATCAGCAAGGATGTGGAGGTCATTTCACCTCCAAGGGGGCCCCTGAACAAAGGCTCCTGAAGTTTTATGGACCCAGAGACTAGAGAAAGAGAGAATAGAAAGTCCGGGGAATGGAAAAGTGCTTAGTACTGGGTCAGAGTAGAGAAAAATATCTTCAGGGTGCCCACTCCCTGCATTATGGAGGTCTTGGGTGAGGTGTCTGAGGAAGACCTCGCCAGAGGCCCAGGATAAAGAGGCCTTTCGATTGGAGGGGCCACCTTAGGGATGTGCACGTGTGTAAGAGAAGGGCCAAAGGCTCTGAGTCTGTGACAGCAACTCCCTGCAGAGGCTGCAGCACCGTGGCTGTGCGCCAGGTCTGCCGTGGGAGGGCCGCTCTGCCCTGTGGGCTGGCCAGGTGAAGCCTGTGTAGTGATCGCCTGTGGTTAGGCCTGAAAAATCATACATGGATTTGTGATCGACAGCTGGACTTCTCAGGTATCGTACCCTCTCTAAGAAGTTAGTGTCTGCTCCAAGAGCATTGCAATATTCTGTGTTCTTCTAGACCAATTTATTGTTTAAATTGTTATATTTTGGTCTATGATACACTATGATCTTGAATTCATTGTGTGGTATGAGTTCGAGCTTGAGATTAATTTATTGTCCCATGTATTTATCCAACTGTCACAGTTCCTTCTGTTGTAATTGAATGACTGGTCTTTCCGTACCTCCTGGCCATCTTCCAAATCTAGATGAGTTGGGAAATAACAAAAGATGCGTCATAAACCTTCATTAACTGCAGACATTCTACCCATAACATCACACTTGATAAAAATTACTTAGTTTCCTTAGGTCCTAGTTTCATCGTCAACAGAAATGGATGGTGGGAGGGAGAATTAGAATACCTGTCTTCGAGAATCGTTGTGAGAATTAAATGGCCCGATGAAAGTATTCAGTACCTGTCTCATGAGAGATGCTCAGTGAGTGTCGTTTTCCCTTCCCTTCTCCGAAGTTTTTCCACCTCACAAGAGCAGACAGCTCTAAATGATGACTCAGGTGCCATCTGCAGAATCTACTGATTGCCGATTTCCTTTTATCCTTATGAGCCCCTTATTTCAATAAGAGAAATAGGGAGCTTATCCCCTTGTCATTTAAAACATGTATGGTAATATATTTTTCTCCATTGTTTATCTGAGCTGCCACTTGGCCTTTTGCAGAGGAAATGAGAGTATCTGCCGTTAGCAACTGTAGACACAGAGAAAGCCTAGCCAGTGCTGAACTACTTCATCCCAGTCGACTTCTGGAACTGCTGCTGCTGTCTGTGATTTCTCCACTTCCCGTAGAGGAGTGGCTAACTCCCCATCAGCTACAGTCCCATGAAACACAAACGATAATTTGGAGTTGTAATAGCCTTCCTGTTTATAATGCCTCTGCCTTGAAGATGCCTGAATCTCGAATACGACAAAGAAAAAAAAAATCTTCGATGGAAATGTTTATTATTTTGATCAAGGGCATTTAATCTGTCTCCATATGAAACCGTATTTAAACATTTCTGCACTTAAGAATTATCAGAGGTGGGTGCGGTGCGCACCATCTGGGAGATGGACATGCTCAAAGCTCTGACTCAGGTGGGGCAAGGGCAATATACATAACCTAAACATTTGTACCCTCCTAATATGCTGAAATAAAAATAAATAAACATCAGTGGAGGACACAGACAATAAACAAGTGAAAAAATAAAAAACAAATTATTGAAGGTGAAATACTGAATCGAGATTTTGATAAATTTTGCCCTGATTTGTTTACATCCTATTTAATGGCAGTGAAACTTTCAGTGCACTTTACTAGGAGTTGTGGTGAATCAACATCTGAATGTTTTGTCTATTTGTTCCCAAATTCTAGCCTACCCCCTGACACCAACCTCTGTTTTACTTCGGAAAAGTGAAAAAATTATCAAGAGTAAATGGGCCAGATTTTTAAATAAGGAGATATGTCATATTCCATGATGTTTAAATAATGATGCACTGAAATATACAAACACATATACATGTATATATGTAGATAATACCAAATAAAACATGAGTATATATATTTACATGTATATGTAAGCGTATATTGCTAAATATCCCCTAGTCATAAATATTACACGTTGCTTAATATCTGCATTGTAGTTTTACCTGACACCTTTTCTAATTATCATCTTACCATTTAGATACATGCATCTAGGAAAGATTGTGTTTTTTTACCTTAATAAGGCAATCTAAATTCTATACATTTGCTTTTTAAAAAAAATTTTCTCTCTAGAAATTGACATTGAGCGCTGTGTACGAGAATCGATCAACCTGTTTTGTTGGACTCCTAAAAGTGCGACTTACAGACAGCACGCTCAGCCTCCAAAGCCAGCTCCCGACAGCAGTGGAGTCAGAAGTTCGCCGTATTTCTCCTCCGAGTGCCCAGATCCTCCAAAGACAGATCTGGTTTGTATTTGCAGATTTAGTTTATAAACACTAAGGAGCAATGGGTGTTAAGATTAGTATACCCTAGTGTCATTACTGTCCTTAATTATATTGTCATTTATGTCCTTTTAATGTAGCTGTTTTCCAATATGATTGTATTCGTACAAATATTTCAGAAAACCTTTATGTCTGTTTGGTTATATACGTAGAAAGACTGTTTTGTCATATTCGTCCAGGTAGCAAGTTTTATTTTTTTTTTCTATGCAATCATAGTGTCTGTTTATGTATCAGCTTTATATAGCGAGAGATCACAGAAGCAAAGGAAGAATTTAAAAATAGAGAAAGCCTAGCTGGGCGTGGTGGCTCACGCCTGTAATCCTAGCACTCTGGGAGGCTGAGGCAGGAGGATCGTTTGAGCCCGGGAGTTTGAGGTTGCTGTGAGCTAGGCTGATGCCATGGCACTGTAGCCAGGGCAACAGAGCGAGACTCTGTCTCAAAAAATAAATAAATAAAAATAAAATTAGGAATAAATGTGAAGTTTTATCACATGTAGCCATATGTAACTTATAGTGGTTATTACAATTTGTATCCTGTGACTAAGGTGATGAATTATATTAAAAATTTTCCTAATAGCAAACCATCTTTAATTCCTAGAATGTGCCCTACTTGGTCATAGTTTGACATTTTTTAAAATTGCTATTGCATTCCGGTTTTCCAGTTTTGAGATTTTTCTAAAAAATATGTATTTCCAAGGATATTGGGGAGTTTGTGTTTAGTACTGTCTTTGTCAGATTTAAATATTAGGTTAAGGAAGCTTCATAAAATGGCCTGGAGTACTTTTCGATATTTCTTTTGTCTTGGACTAGGTATTATGTCATGGGAATTCCCTATGCTTTGAAAATGAGGTAGAATTGTTTGGGAAAAATGTGTTTGGCATCTTTCTTCAGAGTAATCATTTGAAGACTTTAAATTTTTACCTGTGTTTACATAGATCTATATATGTTTTCTATGACTTTTTTTTTTTTTTTTTGAGACACAGTCTCACTGTGTTGCCCCGGCTAGAGTGCCGTGGCATCATCCTAGCTCACAGCAACCTCAGACTCCCGGGCTCAAGCGATCCTCCTGCCTCAGCCTCCCGAGTAGCTGGGACTACAGACATGCACCACCATGCCCGGCTAATTTTTTCTATATATTTTTAGTTGTCCAATTAATTTCTTTCCATTTTTAGTAGAGACGGGGTCTTGCTCTTGCTCAGGCTGGTCTCGAACTCCTGAGCTCAAACAATCTGCCCGCCTCGGCCTCCCAGAGTGCTAGGATTACAGGCGTGAGCCACCGAGCCTGGCCTCTATGACTTTTAAATACATACACACACCCCACCCCCCGTCTGTTCGGCTCTACTTAGCTTATGGATCTATAGGTCTATTGAGGTTTTCTATTCTTTTGGGAATATTAGAATCAATATCTTCTAAATTTATTAATATAGAATTATACACAATACTGTATTTTTTAAATATTTCTATATGCTGATATTCTCGTTTATATAAAATTAAAATGAGAAAATAGTTATAAAAACATGTTTACATTTTTTCTCATTTCTAATCTCACACACACGCAGTGCATATACAGATTTTCCAGCTTTATTGGTTTTCCCCAAAATATCAACTCTAGTATTGGTCTAATTTTCCCTTCATTAATGTATTTATTATTACTAAACATTTTGCCTTCTTTGCTACAGATAGTTTGTGGAGTTTTTTTATTTTTGCCTTCTTTATTTTCACGTAACTGCTTTCAGTTAATGAGAGTAACAGTTTGCAAGCTTTGTGTGATAGCAACTGTCATCTCCAGTTTTTCAGTTGAGAAAAAGAAGGATGACTTTATTGAGAAATTATTTAGGTAGATACGCACTTCACTGTTCTTGATTAACCAGCACAGTGCTCAAAGGCAAGAGGGATCTGACAGTTTGCCATCCCTGAGGCATCTGTCTAATAATCCAGACGTAAGAATGGAGTCTGCCCTGTAGCATTATTTAACGTTTGTTTAAAACTCACTTACTCATTCATCAAATATCTGTTGAGTTTCTTTGTGTCAGACCTTGTGCTAGCTTTTGGAAATGCAGATATGAAAAGATATGGAAACTGCATTCGAGGAGATTGCAAATCAAGTGGAGAAGTAGACGATATGTCACAAATATAATAATGTACTATGGTGGAGGTGTTGGAGGAACCTGGCACCGTAGGCAAGCACCACCATGCCCGGCTGATTTTTATTTTTTGTAGAGATAGGCTCTCGCCATGTTGTCCAGGCTGGTCTTGGACTCCTGGCCTCAAGTGATCCTCCAGCCTCAGCCTCCCAAAGTGCTGGATTACAGGCAGGGACCACCGCACCCATCCAGGTTATTTTTTTTAACTCATAGCATTTGCAAGATGAGATGGGAAAGGGGAGTGGGAAGAATGAAAAGTTTATAATGATTTCCAGATTTCTGTCTTGAGTAATCAAGATGAAGTTAGTGGCAGGATCCATGACAGAAAATATGGGAAGAAAATCTGTCTACTAGTCCTATATTCTCACAGTTAAAATGCCTTTATAAGTATTTAGGAGCTGTGGTTTTTCATTACATGACATAAAGACATACAGGCATACTCATTAAAAGTCTGCCACTTCAGACTCTTGGGTATCATGAAAAAGTCATCTTCCCAGTAGCTTAATAGACACAGCAAAATGCCTGTTTTCATACCAGGTTTAGATTTTCACTTGTTAGTTGGAATCACCACTAGTATATCCAAATAGCCATTTAAGAGGGCCCACACTAGTCAAAGATGACTTTTATCAGTAACACTGCTAAATGAATTCTGACTCCAGGTTGACAATAGAATATGAACTTTAAAAAAAAAAAAAAGTAGTTCTCAGACAAACTCAAATGTCTAAAGTTTGGATTTTATTTTTAGTTTTTTACTTTTTTATTTATATATAATATACATATTTATGGAATACATGTGATACTTTGATACATCCATACAATGTAGTGATCAAATCCACACAATTAGGGTATTCGTCACCTCAAACATTTATCATTTCTTTATGATGGGAACTTTTCACATCTCTTCTAGCCATTTTGAAATATGCAATAACTTGTTAACTGTAGTCACCTGCTGTGCTATGGAACACTTTTATTTAACTGTATTTCTGTACCCGTTACCGACCTCTCTTCATCCCCACCCTCCCCATGCTCCTTAGCCTCTGTGAACTATCATTCTACTCTCTCCTCCATGAGATCACCTTTTTCAGCTCGCATATGCGAGTGAGCATATGCAGTATTTGTCTTTCTGTCCCTGGTTTATTTTAACATGATGACCTACAGTTCCTTTTATATTGCTGCAAATGACAGGATTTCATTCTTTTTAGTGGCTGAATAGTATTCCACTGTGTATATATACATTTTCTTTATCCATTCATTCACTGGTAGACACTTTGATTCCATATCTTGGCTGTTGTGAAGAGTGTTGCAGTAAACATGAGTGTGTAGGTATCTCTTTAATATGATGATTTCCTTTCTTTGGGTTATATACCCAGCACTGGGGATTGCAGGATCCTACTAAAAATAGATGGGAGATCTATTTTTAGTTTGGTGAGTAACCTCCATACTGTTCTCCATAGTGACTGTACTAATTTATATTCATACCAACAGTGTACTAGCATTTTCCTTTTTCCACACTCTTGCTAGCATCCGTTATTTTTTATATTTTTGATGATAGCTGTTTAACTGAGATGAGATGATATCTCAGTGTGGTTTTGATTTTTATTTCCCTGATGATTAGTGATGTGGAACATATTTTCACATACCTCTTAGCCATTTGTGTCTCTTTTGAGAAACGCCTATTTGGATCATTTTCCTGTTTTGTAATCAGATTATCTGGGTTTTTTGCTATTGAGTTGTTCCAGTACCTTATATATTCTGGTTATTAATCCCTTGTAGGATGCATACTTTACAGATATTTTCTCCCATTGTGTAGGTTGTGTCTTCACTCTGTTGTTGTTTCCTTTGCTAAGAAGAAGCTTTTTGACTCGATGTAATTCCATTTGTCTGTTGCTGCTTTTGAGGTCTTACCCAAGAAATCTTTGCCCAGACCGATGTCCTGAAGTGTTTCCCCAATGTTTTCTGCTAGTAGCTTGATAGGTTCAGGTTTTATATTTAAGTCTTTAATTCATCTTTATTGGATTTTTGTATATGGTGAGAGATAGGGGTCTAGTTTAATTTTTCTGCACATGAATATTAAGTTTTCCCAGTGCCATTTATTGAAGAGATTGTCCTTTCCCCACTGAATGTTCTTGGCACCTTTATCAAAAATTGGTTGGCTATAAATATGTGGATTTAGTTCTAGGTGGACAGCTAAGTTTAATATGCATTGTGTGTACAGGCTGTTGGGCAGAAATGATAAATCAATAGACATTTCCAGAGTTGTTCTATAGTTCCCCTAAATTTATTGTCCATAAACAAAGTCCCATGAATTTGAAACTTCAGTCACATGAGGAAAATGCCAATGTCTGTAATACTAAATAAGACAAAAGTTGTGCAGAAAAGGTTTTATTTTTATGCCTCTAACTGGAAATTTTACAATGAATAGTAAAATCATTTATAAAACTAATAAAAGAAAAACTAGATTCTGCGTTTTTAATATAATTATTTTCTTCATAAGGCACAGTAGTATAATTGGTTCTAAATTTAATTTACTAATCTCCTGAAATTAATTGGCAGAGGAACTCACACACATCATATTACAGTTCTTTACACATACACATCCACAGCAGTTTGGAAAGTTATGAAATTGTCAGCAGTTCCTCTCCTTCCGTTCTCACCATTTCCTATGGCAGTGCTCTCTCCTTGAAAACACCTCCCGCAGGATGCATTTGATTGGACCAAAGCCAAGGTCAAATCCTTCTTTAAATCAATCATTTCTTCATAGAGAACAGTTTGGTCAAATCCTCTTCTTCATCAGCCAGGGCTCTCTTCACTCAGATGAAACCTCGATTTGAAATGCCACGTTCATCACAAAATGGCTAAAAGTGGAACTAGGTTAATCAGAAGTGCTTTATTTCATCTTTATAAATGTATGATTTCGTTCGAAGGCTGGGAAAATACCTGTAGAGATTGCAGTCTAATGAAAAAGGAGATGGAAGCATCAATTGTAGGGCTTGCTGGTTTTAAAGCCTTTTAATCTTTCTGAGCACTTTTAATTTCAGAATGTTTAAGTAGCTTTAATTCCTAATATATAAAAAATTAAAATTCCTTATGCCTATTTTTTATTAAAAGCCATAAACCCATAAAGCTTAGCAATTTCTATTTCTATTTAAAAGTTAATGAAGTGAAAGAACAAGTGCTTTACCACTAAAGAATTCAGGGCAGTCAGTGAAACCCAAGGGATGAGAACTAACATCAAACTCCAACTGAAAACAATTCTTTTCAAAATAAGTCTGTCTGGTAAGTGATTCACATGGTTTATTTTCTCCTGCCTAGAAATTCTAAATTAGATATTCAAAGTGTGGAATCCCACAGTGGAATTGAGAAAAGAGAGAAAATTAGTAAATAGTTAATAATTAGACTCTATTTTGTTAATTTATTAGGCATATAAATAAAATTTTCTTTTGAATACCTATATTTTCAATCAAGTGAATTTTGAAAGTTCTCAAATTTTTAAGTTACATCACGTAAGTTTTCAAGAATGACTTGTAGTACTGAATAGATTTATGTTGAATTGAGCTAAATTGTCTTACATTGCCTATTATGAGGGGGAAATCCTTCTCCCTACTAAATAACATAGAGAATAATTGTAAATAGCCTTTAGTCTGAATCAGTCTTATGCCATATAACAGAAACATAGACCAATGTGCCGATGTGATATTCTGGGGTCTGATTTTACCTCCTTCATAATTAAGACGTGTTGTCAATTTGGTTTACTATCTAAGAAAGCATTAGGTTGCTCTTTATTCATCTCTAAGAATCTAATTTCCTCTTAACCATTTATATATAACAAATTATTTTATGAAAGTCCAATACATATAGTAAAACCAGTCTCTTTAATTACTATGTATGTTGAATTACAATGTAATTTCTCGTAACATCTGAGTTGTAATTAATGCAGTTCACAACAACAGTAATTATACTTAAAGAAAGTGAAACGTGCTGAGACGTGCTTTTTTTTTTAAGGATACACCATACTCTCATAAGGAAAAATCTACTCATCTCTTTCTATGTGTTTGAGCCAAGAACTTGCAGAGGGGAAAAAAAAAAGCTTTCCTACAGATGCGACTAATAAGGAAATAAACTTCAGTAGTAAAGAATACAATTACACACTAGACTGCTAAAAGGAGAGACAGTGTCCTCTTCTCCCGTACGCTATACTGATTGATATCAAGAGCCTCTAGAGATGCTATTACTGGCTATAGGTTGTCTCTCTATTATATTCTTAATATTTTTATTATTTGTGCATTTTTTTCAGTCCAGAGAATCCATCCCATTAAATGACCTAAAGTCGGAAGCATCACCCCGGATCTCTGCGGAGGACCTGCTCGAGCTGTGTGAGCTCACTGTGACAGGCCACTTCAAAACGCCCACCAAGAAAACAAAGTCCAGCAAACCAAAGCTTCTGCTGGTTGACATTCGGAATAGCGAAGAGTATCCTTCACATATGCAGTTCTGAAGGGTGGTACTGCCTTGTTTATATTGCTTCCTCTACATTTACGGAGTGTATGGTAAAAATAGTGAACATTTCTAGGATTCCTCTGAATTCAGATAGCTAAATTACTCCCAAACTGGGTACCAGAATGGTCTTGCTTGAGATTTCATAAGATGACATTTCATACCAGAGACCTTAAAATGTTTTCCAAACAATACCAGAATATTGGCATGTTTTCTTGGGTTTTGTATTTTATTGCTATTCTTGAAGGCATTTGAATCCTTCATGCTGTAGATAGGAATTGTGGCAAAGATGAAGAATAAATATACACCTGGTCTACCTCATAGCCTAGAGCAAAAGTTGGCCACACCTCAACATTGCACTTGTATTTATTATAGTTTTC